CTAATAAAATAAATACAAATAAGAATAAAATAAAATAAAAAAATTATGAAAGTGGAGGAAACCCATGGTAACAACGTATCATGTGAATTTTAAATCGGTCAATAATAATTTAGTTTTCAGATCCTAAGGTAACGCAAAAAATGCTGATTTTATTATTATAAACGGTTTTTTTTATTAAGTTTTAATAAATGTAATTAATAAATGTATACTATCGTTATTATTATTTAATAAAATGGAATTAATGTATGTATGTATTTATAATTATTGTTATTAATATTTTGAATTAGTTTTAAAAAAAATGAATCTAGAGTGTGATACTAATATCAGATTCATTAATACGACTAAAAAAAGATATAAGTGAAGATTGTTTTTTATTTTTTTCCCTTTCATAATACCATTCTTTAAACCTTTTTCGTAACATTTTTAATCCATTCTCATCAAATCCCTTTTCAACTTCAAGACTTTCTTGGTAGCTTATAACTTTTTCCAATGCTTCAACAACCTCTGTAACAGTTATTGGAGGTGGTGGTGATCCCTCATCATCATCAGTTTTTCATTATCGCTAAATTCATTAATAGCTATTTTGATAATAATATTATCTGTTAATATATCCTCTGTTCTAGCTAGTTGATCAATTATGTAGACATATTCTTCAATATTATGTACTAATTGTTGAGCCTCCGGATTAGAAAAATCATTAATTAGTGTTGCAGTATCATCGATCTCATTTTCTGACTCACTTTCTCCTTGTTCATTCATTTCTAATTCATCTATTTCAGGCATAATTCTAGTAGTTCTTCAGCAGTTCTTTATAGTAGTGTCACTAATATCCTCCCAAGCTTCAACAATAAAATTGATGGCTTCTCTCATATTAAGTTTTTTATATTTTATAAATAGTTAGATAGTTAAATAAGATAAAATAATAAATATATAAATATAAAAAAAACTTTTATCTTTGATCTTCATTTTTTTCAAATTGTGTAAGTAAATGACGACAATACAATTTTTTATATTTTGATTTGAAACTGTTAATAATGCCAGCATCCATAAGCTGAATATGAGCAGTCATATTTGGTGGAAGAAAATGTACAGTAACATTTGTAAGACCTGGAATTTGTCTTGATCGGTTAGAATGGGTGATATTGGTTCTTCTTTTGGATCCTCGTGATCTTTCTTGTGGCCTTCCTTGTGGTCTTCCTCGTGGTCTTTCTCGCGATCTTCCTTGTGATTCTTCTTGAAGTTCTTCAATTTTATCATTGAAATCATTCTCAGATAGTGATTCATCTGCATCATCATCCTGGACTTCACTTGAATTATTTGTTCCTGGAGTCTTATGAGATGCCGCATTATCAACAAGAAGCAAGACTTGTTTGCCTTGAATACGAAAACCATCATCTATATAACGTAACCATTGTTCCCAAATATCACTTCTCATCCATGCTTTTTTATTATTTTATACATCACTGGTAATTGTAAAGTATTTATTTCACTAAAGTACTGTGGTTTTTTAGAAGTACCAATGACCAGCAGACGAAACTTATGAGAACCAGTTGAATTGGAGTAAAGTAGTACAGTTACTCTTGCTTTTTCCTAAAGAAACTATTATTATTTATTTAAATCAACTCCTTTAAATTAATTATTTTTTTTTAGCTCGCCTTTTTTTTTCCAGCCATCGGTTTTTTAGAAAGAGTTTGGTTAGGAAGCAATCGGTAGAATAGACCCGTTTCATCGGCATTATATATATCTTCTGAATTATAATGGGAGAGAAGTTCTTACAATTTTTTCCGTTCCTCAAGCAAGTTTTCCAAGGGTGCACTTGTTGCTTCGCCGTGCATTGTAATTTTTCTTATTCCATTACGTTTCTTAAATTTAGTAGCCCATCCATTTGAAAATGTAAGTGACCCTTCAGGTATAACAAATGCTTGTGCAAATTGACAGGCTTTTTCCTTTACTAACAAATCTGAAATAATTATTCCTTCGGTCGTGACCCGTTCTATCTACATATTCATAGCAAGTTCTAATATTGGATACTTCAAAGGACGATGATAAAAAGTTGTTTCAGCGACATCATCCTGAAATTGGTATCCATCGGCTCTCTTTAATATTTTTGACACAGTCGAACGATCAATCTTCAAGTTCAGATAACGTTCCATAAATTCTTCTGCTACTTGTTGTTATTTATATAATGGGTTTTTTTTAGCGAGTTCACATATTTCTTTTTTTTGTTTGTCACTAATGCGACAACGGGTTTTTTTAGGTACAGATTCAGGAGGCATAATGCAAATAATTGGAATGTTTGAAAAGATAGATTGTTGGAAAAAAGTTAAAATCGATCATTATTTGATTTTATTATTTAAATTATTTAAATCAATCAATAATCGATAATCGTTGATTTTCATAATCAGATTTTTGATCAGTATAATTCTTTATATAGTCACATATATATTTTTTAATATAACTGTGACTATATAGAGAAACCTCTATGATAGTCACATCTCTATATAGTCACTGGTTTTTGTATCCCGAAGGCATGACTATAGAGAGATTTGACTGTATTGGATATCTGAATTTTATCAGTTAACCAATAAATCCTTGACATATTTATATTATACTTATCAGGAACATATCAGTTGCCTATTGATTACCTATTGGCCACCTTAATAACTATTCGATTGGCTCCTAATATATACCTAAAATATAGATTTTGACCTGTGTATATTGGATACACCAAAGTCTTAAACCAGATAAAGATCAGTTTGGTATTGTAGGTATGCAAGTAGCAGGTAATGTATTGTACTTGAATCTTCTTATATGAGATATGGTTAATGTACATTGATATTACCATTTACAATCTACTGAGATTCCTGTACAATTTTTAGATGAAGTCATTGTAACTAAATTTATAAAAACCTTGTTACTTTTACGTAATATAGTAATTACTAATTTATCTTTACTTTATCACACACCTGTTTTCTCATCACAAAGACAAATGGAAGAGAGTATCACAGTTTTCACTTTACAAGATAATTATTCATAAATTTTATTTATTCCGTATTTTATCTTGTATTTGTATTATGTATTTTTATCATATATTTATTAATAAAGTTTTTTTTGGTTAGAGGAACGTACAACGTATCATGTGTTATTTTTTGTGTAAGCCTTTAGATGATTCTTTGAATTATGTATAACAGAAATTTTTCCGATTGTGAAAATTTTCTTCACGGTTTCTATCACGTGATTTTTATTAATTTATAAAATCACATCTTATATAAAACAATGAAAAATACAATCTATAAAGGCATAAGATTGAATAGGGAACCCTGCATAAATCATTTTTTCATTATTATTTTTCGTGCTTGATTATATATGCATCATGGAACGATCAAGATTTCACAAATTCGATATGGAAAATATATATTTTATTTATAATGATAAAACAAGATAATTTCAGAAAAACTGGACATGTGTTCTTCGAACATTGTAACGAGAATTATATGCAACAATCTTATTTACAGATTAATTTTTCTGAACAAGTATACTACCACAGAATAGGATCTTTCGAGTATAACGTAAAAAAATAAGGTTAATCTTCTTCAATATTTTCGTAGCTCTTTGAACTCTCTGATAAGGTTTGCAGTCACGTGTCTTTCTACTGTTGTTAAGCATATCTTCCTGCGTTCAGATGTTTAGAGGTAGTTTCCTAGACAACCCTTAATCATACGTATTTAAGGTACACTCCAGTTGACTATTTTCCAGGATACGTTTACTATACCTACTGTCGTTAGGCAACATTTTCCTGCGTTCAGATATTTGGAGACAGTTTCCTAGACAACCCTTAAGCATACATGTTTAAGATACACTCCAACTAGCTGGTTTCCAGTATACAGCTGACTGTAAACATTATCACGTTCTTTTTATTTAAACGGATAATTAACTAATGAATGCTTTTAGATGTTTGAATCCATTATTATGGAATATTTTGATAAAACGAAAAGTAAAGATTGAATAATTCTTAGAATTTTGGAATTTGTACGATCGAGCTTAAACCCCAGATTATCTGTGTTCACAATCGATGATTTCAAGGAAAATTTGCATGCAATACTACAGAGCTATAGAGACAAAGTTAATATTCACGTATATACCAAAAACAATGCGACAAAAATTTTATCAAATTTTGATTCAACATTCAACAGTGCCGAAGTGAGACAATTTATAAAGGATCTAGAACTTCATGAAGAAGCAAAAATAAATGTAACACCAACTTATACCGCTATTGTTTTAAAGGTAAGATTTATAAAAATTTGAGACTAACTTTTACAATGGACCAGTAAACTTACCAAAAAAATTTTAGGATCAGTAAAAAAATCAACAGCTCATTGATCAATTACGAGTCAATAAACAGGAGCACTTTGTATATGAGAAAACTACTAGATTACTAAATGTAGAAGATCAAGAAGATCGGATGTACAAATGTCAATGTATAGATGATGAACTCGAGGATTTAATTGAGGTAATTATATTTGCATCGATGTTTAGGAAAAATGAATTCTTTTGTAAATTTTGTGAATGTATGTATAGGGCTTGAATTTTGAAGAACCCTTAATCGAATGGAAATTTAATACACCGAAATCAAGTTGAATAGACAAAGTAGTACAGGAACAAGAATCGTTAATTTCTCATATTTTTAATTGTGATAAAACAACTCAATATGAGTTATTATTAAAGTAAGTGTTTGATAAACATTGATTTGTTTGTTATTTGTAGTTTCTAGGTTCTAATATTTTTTTTAGTCCAATCTGGTGGAGAATTATCAATTTATCTGATCCAATGATTACGACCCTTATGTTAGAAGATAAGTTGTCGAAGCTGAATACAAAGTTTTTATCACTTTTGGAAAACTGGATCACATTAGAATCCGAGGCAGAAAGATGCTTACAATCTCTCGAAAAGGTGAATGATAAAATCAAATGTTAATTCATCTAAGATCGACACTTATTTTATAATAAAATTTGGGAATAAATTATTCAATAAAACTATATAATAAAAATATATATATAAATTTGCCCCACTTTTTATATGTAAATAGTACCGATTATTCACAGATCATGACTTATGTATTTTAATTATTATTAACGCATGCATTAATTTCCAGCTCGACAATGATCAACTTTACATTATTGGTAAAGTAGTTAGACCAAAAAGAATGTACAGAGCAATTCTTAAACTTCAAGAATTATTGGAAAATAAAAAGGAACAAAATGCTTCAGAATTGGACAATCTGTTTGAAGACGAAAATGATTTCAATAAAGAGGATAATGGAGATTATAAAGAGATTTTATCATTAACTCTTGAAGATTATACAAATCCAGATGTTGCTTTTATTTTTGATTTAATTCGATATATGTAAGTTCAATAATTTAGTAATAAATTACACCTGCAATTTAATAAGCTTTATGTTATATAATTTTGTTCAGATGTGAAATGATCACAAAAGGAATTACTCAACGACCTAATTCCGAATGAGATATTGACATCTTCATAAAGAGACATATATTCACTTGTTTCGATACGATTTTAGATAGCCATTTGTAAGTTTTATTGATATTTTTTAAAATTTTTATTATTGGTAATAATGCTTACACTTTTTCTTAACTAAGTGGTGAAGTGGTATCAAGAGCATCTAAAAATTATCAGGCAGAGGTAATAGATGCACCAAGTAATGTCGAGGGTTATCATTTGAATTGGATGTTCACGGTATGGGTATGATAAATTTTTAATAGCTTTCATTATAAACTATTAATGCATTTACTAAATTTAATTATTTACAGAGGCATGATCTTGGTAAGAATTACATCAGGAAATTTTTCAGGGCGTAAATTTCCATAACAAAATGGGACCCACGGAAATTTACATCCAAAAATTCAATTTTTTTGACTTTGGTCGCAATTTACGAGACAGGAAGCGATTTTCTACTAAGGTGTTTCTATGA